ACGAATATGACAGATTGGGCTAATGCTCCTGGAGCCAATCGTCGCTATTTTTTTATTTATCTTTTTTATCTTTATATATATATATATATATATATATATATAGACACAATTAAATAAAAAATACAAATATTTTAGTTAAATATAAATGAATAGGTCTATAATAAGGTTAATAAGGAGATTTTCAATCCCCTAACAAATAATGAGGGGTTAAAGTGAACATAAAATAACATTCGTAACCTATTTTATGTCAGGAATGTGGTGCAAAAATGTAGTTTTTCCATCAGGAATTGATTGGATCGTAAAAAGTGGTTTCGATATTCAAATAAAAAAATTATTCAAAATACTTCAATTGAACTGTTCGGATAACACTTCAAAATAAAGATCACTACTTTAGTTAATGGCATGTCTAACATGAAAAACAAATAACCTTTCATAGCATTGATTAATAAAGATTAATAAAATAGTGTTTTATAAATTCAATTTGTAATGTATTAACAATGAATTAAAGTAGATTTACAAAATAACATTAACTAGATCAATAAATAAGTAAAAACTAAAACTAAAACTAGAGTTTAATTAAAATAAAATATAAATATTAGATGAAAAACCTAAAAACTTCATTTAGTAATACTGCATTGGCAACGGACCAAAATTAAATGAGTTGAAGTAATAAAATCACTAAAACTGAAATAAAAATAAAGCTGAAAAGAACTAATAATGAGTACTAAAACATATGTTAGTTTATGACATCTTTATTGTTAAGAAATTGAAACTTATTGTAAAGTGTTACCACCGTTCGTAATAAAAGAAGGAATTGTATTAAGAATAGGGTCAATCAGGGCCGGGGTGGTTGATCGGGAGAATTCCCGGTGGGAATCACTTTTGGGCCGGTCGAGGATTTTATTTATGAATTAATTTTTTTACATTTGTCACGTTAGTCTATCTCCTCTTAAATTAGGCTACACATGTTCCGCATAACACCGCAGCGAGCAGCCTCTGCATGGGCTGTACCACGTGAGGGAGTTCTCCCCTCCCAGATAGACTTGGTTGGGTCCATAGCCAGTCTTTTCCTAAACATTTTCTCAGGAGCATGGATGGGAAGAAGAGGCCAGGAGGGGCTGAAAAAGCCAGGTTGAAAAAAAAGAAAGGCATTGGAGGAGGATGCTGCCAAATGGGCCAAGCTTACAGATTTATTTTCAAGAGGACAAACAGGTAAAGAGAGATAGGCCTAGTAATCATTAGCATTACCAATGCAATTATTCAGCAAATACCATTGTAGCGTTGTCAACCTATTCACAAGCAAACTATTACATTTAATTAAAATATTAGTCTTTTTGTTTCACCCAATATATGGCGATTCATCGACTTTGCAAATATCGATAACAAATCTCAAGCTTGATCAGTGTGTGCAGTAAAATTACCTCTTAATTATATTTTTTGTAGCTTCTAAGCCTCTGAAAATGAGGAGGCCATGACTAGGGACATGTAGAGACGATACCAGAGGACTGAATTACCACAATTTGATCCCCATGCAGAAAAATGATAATGACGATGATATTTCTGTTAACTTCTCAGCTTAAGTGAATTATAATTTAACCTTTACATTATTTGTTCAACCATGATATTAATAAAAACAACACATTAGTAAGAGCTGAACTGTTGCTTGATTCACCATGGAAAAAGTGGGCGGGTCTTGAGCCTGAAACTCCCGGACTGAAAAGTGGCCCCACTCCGGCCCCGGGGGCAATTTATATTTCAAGTCGACTTAAATTGTAATCAATTTTGAGAACAGCAGTTTTCCTCACAGTTGGGCTCTTTCTCTATTGGACAGTGACTGATCATGTTCCTGTCTCTTCTCCCTATCACTTCCTTTCAGGGTTGGCAACTTTCTGATTTGGGGGGGGTTTATGCCACCATGGAAGAAATAACCCCTGAAATTCATACATTATGGCATATTATAATGCAACTTACAGTATTAGGCCTATATTTACGTATACCTAAACAATGACTCTACCACATAGGCTAGATATAAAGGCTATCATGATCATTTTGCCAACAATGAACCATGGATTTGTTTAGTTTATAATACGTTTTATTTCAACAAATAAAAAGTATAACATTAAAAACTCATCGGCTTAGACTGCATTTGAAGAAAATACACACAACAGTTTTTTTCAGCCTTGTGCGAACTCTAGACTTCTAGAGTGTTCTTTCAAGTGCAAAAAATAATATTTTTAATTTAGTAGTTTGCACGACGTGCGACCAATAATAAGACAACTTGGCCGCCAAGGGGGCGCCAAATCCCCAAATTTTCCATTATAGCAGGTCTTCGTTGATTCATAGTCTGTCTGACATAATATATATTAGAAGCTTTGTGTCCGTCATGGATTTGCACTGAATTGATTCTCAAAAATATGGAACAAGACATTTATGTGTCAAATATGGAACGATTCCGTATTATACGGAACGGTTGGCAAACCTACTTCCTTTCCTCTCTACTTTCTACCCAAAAAGTGACAAAAGGCCAAAAATACAGCACAAAAAAAAAATCACATGTAATAGTTTCTTTGATTTGAAACAAATACCTATCACTGAGGTTCTCGTAGTGAACCGCTCATGACTTTTCTTTGAGGCTGGTTAGTTTGCATCAGCATGGGGTCAGATTATCTTCCTCTACAATGGCACAATTCTAAAAAAAGAACTATAAAAGAGGAGCTGGGGAGTGTGGAAAAAAAAAACCAAACAGTTAAAACAGTTGGGAAACTTTATAGCCTAACTCTTTGCAAGTTGAGAGAAAGAGAGTGCGGAGGCTTTGACAGAAAGCACAGAGGGACAGCCACACTGCTGGCACAAATGAAACGGAGAGAGAAGCATCAACCTTTCTGCACCACCGTGTCTTCAACTACAACACAGTCAAGCACGGAACAAAGAAAACACACCTGCATTCCCCAGATCAAACTGCACTTTCAACTATTATCGTAAATAAACGTATATGTGCAAGACATCAGCGCTTTCCTCTCTCATAAGTTATAGCAGTTTTGAAATGGAAATGAATTTAAATATTTTTTGAAAGGTCATGGCATGCATCATCTCAAGTCATCTACAGCAGCATGTGTCATCTCCATCACGCTAAAGAATTTAAGGCAGGGTTAGAAAAGTTTGTTTGACTTTTGTAATCCTGCTGAAGTGTGAGTCCACGCTTCAAATCCTTATGGGCATAAAAAGATTAACAATGTTATATCAACCTGTGGTAAAAAGGGGTTAAGAAAAAAAAACAACTTGTCAGCTATTCCTTTAACAAGAATTTTAGACCATTACACATCTTGTAATGGTATTTCTTTGGATATTCAGAACAGCTCAATACAAATCTCATCTCTCTAAATTTGGCAGAGCCCACAGTAAATCAGGTTGCAACTTTCAATATGTCAACTTACCCACTTGAGACCAGATCTCCAATTTAAAAAAAAAAAAAAAATGAAAACCGATCTGGTGCATGTTCAAGTGGTGTTATACTTTGGCAGAGAGCGAGACGGTGTGCTGTGGAATCGGTCCAAACAGGCCTACCTAATCTCTGCTGAGTGTGTTTGTTTGTCTCTGAATGTCAGAACGCCTTCGGGCCAGGAAGACAAAGTTCAAAGCAATACGGATACACTTTAGTACAACTGTTAGACTAAACTGACACAGATTTACAGAGGAAATCAAAACATTTAAATGTGGCAGTCAGCAAAAATGCACATTTTGAGGGAAAATATATTTTTTCTTGGTGGAAAATTAATATTCAATTTCACATTTTTTTATATTACATGAGAATTTATCACATTATATTTATCATATATAATAAAATATAATATCGTTGCTGTCTGGCGGATTTTTATAGGTTTATTTCTTAAATCATTACTATTGGTCACCTTTTATGTCTGTCTGTGGGTTTTGCAGATATTTCACCAATGAAAAGCATTAAAAAGAGCTCCATTGGATCCAATGTTTTATCTGTTTGAGGAGCAGAGAAGAGTAGCATGCAATACTGTCTTTGCCTCTGCATAGCAATTCATTATTAATAACATGGGATTTTGGCCAAAGGAGCACCCACATAGCTACAGTAAACTTTATAACCTATAAGTTGATGAAAACATAATATGATGCACAATTCTTTAAAATTCACTGGTCAAAAACTCCATTTGATCTTGATTTTGGTCAAATTATAATATAGTGACACATCTCAGTGTCTGACCACATATAAATCCACAATATTGACAATGTGGTGGTGAAAAATGCAGTGTTTTTTTTTTGTTTTTTTTTTATTTCCTTAAAAGTAGCTTTTTTCCTTAAAAGGTTTCAGTCCAACAGCAACGATATAACATAATATAATATAATATAATAATCGATTAATCGCGATTAATCACATCCAAAATAAAAGTTTGTGTTTACATAATATATGTGTGTGTACGGTGTATAATTATTTTGTATATATAAATACACACAAATGCATGTATATATTTAAGAAGTATTTGCATGTATACACTTTATATATATTTATACATAATTAATATTATGTGAAAGCTAGTTTGCATAGGCCACAAAATATTGGCGAAATAACACATTAGTGGACCGGAGGTAATAATGTGGAATTTTTTCTGAAATTTTCCAGGGCCTTGATTTTTTTTTTTTTCTCAGATTCACAGACTTTCAAGGATTTCAAGGACCCATGGGAACCATGAATATAATATAACATATTATATATATAATACAATATAATAAAGACTGCAACTGATGAACTTCTGTTTAGCTGGGTCGTCAAATCTAAAAACTCAACTCCTAACTTGTTCTTAAATGCAATTACAAATGAAAGTAAAAAAATAAATAACCAACAATATATTCTGCATAAAATAAGCATCTATTAAAAAACACATTAAAATGTGAACATTATAACATTTGGACAAGCAAAACGCCAAACTCCTGTGAAGCAAAACGCATCAAAACAACTGATGGAAGCTCTTTACCTCGTTGGTGTTCCAGCGATGTCTCTCCTTGGGCAGGGAGGAGCATTTGGGAAGGCATTCCAGAAGCTTCTTGGGCAGGTAGATTTTCAAATGTCCATGTTCATCTGTGAACAACACAAAAAGATGACTTAATATGGAGTGCGAAGAGGATTATTAAAACAAAGCTGTGCTGCTCTCCAGGGCCTAAAACACTGGGAGCTGTTCTTTTTTACACAAAGATCCAATCATTTCTTTGTAAATTACTGAGCTGATTGAATCCAATGTCACTATTGCTCAAGGGACTCCTTTACATGCCCATGAAACTTACATGCCCAGGTGTTACGTTCGCAAATAGCTGTGACAACCTTTTTAGAAGTATAAAACTATAAAACAGGCACGGGACCTCAAAGGGGGAGCACTCAGAAAGCAATGAAGAAAAAAACAAAACTTAAGATGTTACTGTGAAATGAAAGGGAACATATTTGGAGCACAAGGCGTGCAAAAGGCTTTCATCCAGAAAAGTCGTGATTTTGTTTTCATTGAGTTTTTTTTTTTTTTAAATGCTCTCTCTCTCTCTCTCTCTCTCTCTCTCTCTCTCCCTTATCATGCTAGAGTGCCTGCTCAAATACATAACAACAAAATTGGGCAACAGAGCAAAAGCATTTCAAGGTTATTGATAACCGTTTGCATCAAGGGCTCAGGCTTCTTAAGGGACTCAATGTTTAGCCCTGTGGGAGAAGGTAGTTCCATATTGCGTGCTGAGCCTTCTTATGAATATAAAAAAAGGGAGAGAGACTGAAAGAAAAGGAGAATGAGAGACTGACTGAGATTTGTGGAGTGTGTCCTCGGTAAAAGACGAAAGAGAAGTGAAAGAGACGCTGCAGATCTGAGTGAGATGAAGCCCGTGTGTCCATAGAGACACTGCTTAGCAACCACTCACACTCCGGCATTAAGGACAAACAGATAGCCAGAGGGAAAGAGACACATGAAGAGGGTTAGATCACTTCCCTGTTCATAGTCAAACACCAGAACCAATGCACATTGGTTTTGCTTTACCTGTGCATGAACTCAGACCCACATAGATAATTGAATTCCCTGTTTAAAACATCCAAGCAGGGCACCAGACTAACTTTTCTACTGGTTGCACTGGTGCTACCAACTTTCTCACTTTTTTTGTTTTACTACATGCCATGGGATTAATCAATGCATGCTGATGAATAATGGTTTTAATGGACCAAAGCTAGCAAAGGCTTTATACAGGTAATATATTAATTACTATTGCCAAATTTCAGGATTTTCATGGATTTTGGACAGTAATTTTAAGCATTTTACATTTGAATTATATACAATCTATCAATCATACATTTGAACATCTATCTATCATCTTTCTATCAGCATCGTCTTTCTATCTTTTAAAAATCATTAAACAGTCGGCAAACACAGTAATCCGGACAGATAGTTAGTAACATTAGCTGTTTTTTTCCGGGTTGCTCACGTACTTGAGCTCTTTTCCCGCTTTAGTATTTTAGTATCCGGTAAAATATCCCGTATTTTAATATTCTCATAACATTAACATTAGCTAATAAAATTAGATTAGCATGTTTTAGAATTGTATTTAGTTTTACTTACTTTATGTAATGTTTCTTTAACCAAGAAAATGTGACAACATTAAGTGTAACTGGGATATGAATTTAGATTTACAACAAAAAAAAAAAAAAAAAACTGTGAGGACTTTGCCTCGTCATTTCAGAACATGCCACTGATTTAATTAGAGGTTTTGCCTAAATTTGCTAAAATTAAGAAACTGTGGTATACAATAAGAATGTAGAGGTATGTACGATGTGATTACTAGGACATTTTACTCAAAAGAAAAACCTGAGGAGCAGGACACTTAATCAAAATCAGCATTTGCTCTCCATTCAATCTCACTGATGTCTAGGATAAACTATTGAGTTTGAAAAGATCTCATTTGTGATTTGCCTTTTTATTTAGCGCCGTCTCTCTCTTGGCAACAGTTCCGTTGGGATCTAATGACCGTTTTCACGTTTTTAAATTGGGAGATCTGTGGCTGTTATGCCCCAACTAAAGCAAAGATTTAGAAGAAAAACACACAGTACATTCGCACAAGACAATGAATAAATGAGCCGGCACTTTTGAAAAGTTTCTCTCTCTTTCATTCCAAGTCACTCGACCGGGATGAATTATAAAAGAACGAGGCGTCGAGCAACTTATTTACAGGGTAATTAAGACTAGAATATATATCCCTCCCTTCCTATTCCTATTTGTCATTTCTCGTCTCTTCATTTATCTCAGTACATGCTTTGGCAGAACAAGTGAGCGATTCTGAGGACTGCAATTTAGTCGCATTGTTCTGCATCAAAGTAAGGGGCTTTTAAATTATGCTGACTCTGACGACTGTGGCTTTAGAGGCAAATTTTAATCACAGAGTCAGTCGCCGTCTGCCAAGCACTGCCTTAAGCGTTTGCCTTTCTCTCTCTTTCACGACCGTCTCCCAAGAGTGGCCAATGAGACGCAGAGCTGAGGGAAAAAAGCTTAACAACAAAGAAAATGAAAAACAAAACAAGGCTACGCACACGCTGCTAATACTCACACAGATAGAAACGTGTGGATGTAGGTGGTAGAGAAAGATTGAACAGAATAGAGCTCTGTAGACTATTTGCTCTTTCTCGTGTAATTATATGTGCACACAGGCATGCGCTTATAGCGCCCACCATAATTAATTATGAATGTATTAAGATGAATCGCTCCTGTTTCCAATTCTACTGACATAGAAAAACACATTCACGTTTGACACGAACACCAATCAACATTCAGCGCAAATGCCAAGGTGTCGCACCCGCATGTGGCCCTTGTCTAACTGCCGTCCGACTCTTGATCTGAGGAAATCTTTGAAAAACACCTATCAAACCTGCCCTTCAAAGTAATGTCAAGCATCAGAGAGTCCCGTCTAAACCGAGGATACAAAGGCATGGCTTAACTCTTTATCATCAAGTGCGCTTTTAAATTTTTCAGAAACTCCATGTCAGCAGTCGTGAGTTAGGTCAAGAAATCGACAGATCCTTCGAACGGAGGCATTGGAGGTCACTGAATATGGAACGATCTATGTTCAAATGAGTGATGAATGTGACTTCTGCGCAAAGGCACTGTGGGATCTCATACTGTCAATAAGCAGCATGTTTGTTCAGATCCCACATGTGACTTTAAGTGACCCCAATAAGAACAACAACACTGATGGTGACAGAAAAGCCCTAAGGGCAGTGTCTGAAAAGCAGCAATGAGAGTGTTTACATGACAAATGAGCCGAAACTATTCTCAGTGAAACGGTTGGTGAGCATCGGCCATGGATAAACCATAGGGCCAATCGGGCCATCCAAAACCAAGCCTTCCAATATTTAGACAAAAAACAAGTATGAAAAAACGTCATATACGCTACGCACACACAACGAGTGCATTTAGCCCAGCACACAGCATTGTTTTTAAGTTCCATCGCGAAATATACGTAGGCTACCATATTCGTTGTACGTGCATAGCCTATATGATGGTATTTTGACTAGCTGAGAACATGGTTCTGACGCCCGTACCGAATTGTGATGGGCAACATAGCAACTACGATTGCATCCCTTTGGTCCGACTCCGAGTTGCGTTCATATTTCACTCGAACCGCACCAAAGTTCGCTTGGAAGTGGGCCGTCTTTTCATGCGTTGAGTGTGCACTGCACACACTCAAACTTCCATAGAAAGTTGCATATTGTTTAAAAAAAAAAAAAACTTTCTGAGGTTGCACTATCAATAATAATAATCCATGGATTTTAAATTCTCTAAAGCTTTATTTTGTCTCATTACCACAATGCTTTTTATGTGTCTTCATTGATATCACAAGAACACTTGATAGAGCAGTGTCTTTACTTTTAATTCAATTTACACAATTTTAAAATATTCTTAATCTTTTGATTAACACAACCACTGTGTGTGGGCCTCTCGGTTTTTAACACAATCTTGGAGGAGAGGAATGGAAAACCGATAAACAGGGTTTATAATGAACAATCATCTGCAAAGGTGTCTGTTGAAATGTTTTGACATTTCTCGCACACATTCATAATTAATGCGTTTTAATTGAGCGGATGGATCTAAATGGCAAAACAGGCTAGCTGTGCAAAACGAGTACTTCTAAATCCGCAGAGCCACATTTCTGTTCACCCAAGGCAAGCACAAAGAAGGTCCATCCTCCTGTATGTTCCCTCTGAGGATTACCACATATCTGCGTTCTTTAATGACTCTGCAAGCATCTATAGTGTGCAAGAACACGGGTCGGTCTCGAAACAGATGGGGCTTCGCCACTGCAAAGTTTAAAAAGACAAGAATGGACACAAAAACTTTCCACACCTCATCAGCCCAATGTCACTTTTTAATGAAAGCCGTCTCTTTTTCCATTAAATTGTCAGCACTGACGGACAATTTCTGTTTGCATTTGTTTATTTGTAGCCTGTATTTTCCACGGAACGTCATTTCACCTGCCGTAAGCGGTTTTGTCTCAGATCGTGGCGTACGCTTCCAACGCTCCTCTAGAAACTCTTCAAATTAAGAAAGGTGCAATGACAAATGCTCCGAGAGTGGCAAATCTGCTTCAGACGGCAAATTCGGAGCCTGTCTGAATAAGGAGAGGGTGACATTTACAGATTTGATTTTCTCTCTACCTCATCATACGGCAGACACAAGACCGCACAAGGGTCGCTGTAGTGTCTGCCGTGACTTTTTGATCCCATTTTGGAGAATGTGGGCTTTGGAGGAAATACATTAAACTACCCTGACATAAGTACAGATTCAAGAAAAAAAAACGTTTTCTCGAATGGAGGTCAAGTAAATCTAGCGATGTTTCTGTACAACAGATAGAGGACGTCTGCAAAGTCAACAAAAACCTAAAGGAGTAAATGTTACGGGTATCAATTACGTCACTTTCGCTTCGCCTCTGTTAATGGATCGATTTTGGCCCATCTGTCATATTACAGAGATGTTTCACCAAGGGCCGCAATCTGTCTCGTGAGAAATGTTCCAGAAAATCAAATCTCATACCCGTTCGCATCTCAAATGAAACTTTAGATTATAA